ATTGTGCTGAGCACGTGGTTCCATAGCTACTACCACGCCTCCTCCTCCCCCTTCTCCTTGTTGTCTTCCCCCCCCCCCTTCATTGGTTCTCCTGTTCCCAGTGGTAACTACTGCATCTTGACTATGGGCCGTAATTAAACATTGTGGCAGAGTCTGCTCCTGGAATCTCTGCTTTGTTTTCTGCGTTGCTGTTCCCAGTTGCAACTGTCTGCTCTGAGATTTTTAGCAGTTGGGGTACTCTTGCTTTTACTCAGCTCTTTAGAAGTTGGGGTACTCCTGCTTGTACCTGTGAACCCCTTAATGTGAATGAGAAGCTCTGGGGGTGAGCAGCACTCTTTTTGGAGACAGGGGTTGCAGCTTCAAAAAGGGTCCCAGGAGACAGATCCAGGGTGCTGGGAGGGGCTGCATTTGCAGGGAGTAGAGCAGTGGGAGGAGGCGGTGGCCACAGATGCCCACACAGGCCCCTCCTGCCCACAGGACCTGGTGTCCAGCAACAGTGACACCGAATGGAGGGTGATGGCTGACTCTGCCTGTCCACCTCCTGATCCCTTGGGCCTGGCTGATTTCTCCTTGTTCTCCTGCTTCAGGCCGGTGACCATCTCCATCTCTGCCTGTCCCAGAAAGTCACTCTGTGTGTGGGACCAGGAGGGGAGTGGGCACAAAAAGAGGAAATGCACAAAGTCCCAAAATAGGAGTAGCCATGGTTGCTGGTGGAGTGAGGGAAGGGAGACGGAGTCCATGCAGAAATCCCAGGGGTGGAGGGAGGTGCATTCCAGAGGCTGCCCTGAACCCGAACTCTGAGCCTGGCTCTGCCCTCTCAGAGCTCAGGCAAGCCCCCTGTTCTCCCTGTGCCTCAGCTTTCCCCAGCTGTGTAATGGGAATGCCTCAGTCAGGGTTGTTGTGAGAATCACAGGAGGTGGAGAATAATACACTCCTGTCGGTTTCCAGTGTCGGGCAGGCAAGCTCCATGCTGAGCATCCCAAAAGTACAACAAGGGGATGAATTAATGAGTGAGTGAGTAAGTGAATGAATGAAGGTGATAGGGGTGGGCAAGGGCAGGGCCTGGAGTTATAGAAAGGAAGGGGCTTCAGGGGATGCTGGGGTCACCATTGCCCTCTGCCTCTGCTGACCAACAAGGCCTAGGGGACATCCAGGGGCAGGGGCTGCCTCCTGCTGTGCCTTCCTGCTGGGATCCTGGCAGTGGGGCTGGGGCTGTACACGTAGCCACAGGTCACTCAGAACCACCAGTGTCGCAGGATGCTGAAAACTGGAGGCAACGAAGGACGCTCTTTGTTGTCCCTTAGCATTCAAATCTTTGTTTTTAAAGTTCCTTCCTTCTTTCCCTCCTTCCTTCCTCTTTCTCTCTTCTCTTCTCTTCTCTTCTCTTCTCTTCTCTTCTCTTCTCTTCTCTTCTCTTCTCTTCTCTTCTCTTCTCTTCTCTTTGCTTCTCTTCTCTTCTCTTTTCTTCTCCTTTCTTTTCTTTTCTTTTCTTTTCTTTTCTTTTCTTTTCTTTTCTTTTCTTTTCTTTTCTTTTCTTTTTTCTTTCTCCTTGGGACATCATCCTCTATTGCTTTCCCAGACCGTAAGCAGGGAGTTGAATGGAAAGTGGAGCAACTGGGACACAAACTGGTACTGTATCAATGCTGGCATTTGTAGGTGGTTAAGCAATTGAGCCATCGTGCCGGCTCCCTTGCCCTTCCCCTTTGCTTTGAGCCTCTTGTATGGAGACGTGGAGCTGAGCCCCAGCCTCAGAAGATGCTGAGCACGTGAAAGCCAAGGACAGGAGAAGAGCAAGGGTGATGGGGCCAGCGTTGTGGATCAGTGGGTAAAACAGACACATCAGGTGCCAGTATGCCAACAGTGTGCCCAGCGCCCTGCCACCTGTTGCAAACCCAAGGGAAGTGCCAGGCTTCTGGGGCAGACTCAGCTGTTGTAGTTGTGTCAGGAGTGAACCAGCCACAGAAGATTCTCTTTCTTCCCCTTCTGTCTGTACCTTTGCTTTTCACATGAATATCTACATCTTTTTTTTAAATAAAAAAATTTTATTAAATGTTTATTAATAAGACAAAGAATTCAACATCTTAAGATGCTTTCGGGAGGGACCAGCAGGATTGCCGTTTCCTCGTCACCTGCCTTGAGAATCACAGAGTCCACAGTACTAGATGCTGTGTCCCTAGGCCTTTCCCGTGTGTTGTGGCCCTTAACCCTCAGGCACCCTGACCGTCCTACGGAGCTAACAGGTGACTCACAGGACAAGGAAATGACCTGCCCAAGTCCCACAGGCCGCGAAGTGTAGAAGGGAAGCTGCCTCTGAGCTGCCTTTAGGGCAGGTGTGACATAAAGCTGTCTCCAGTGAGTGAGTGATCCTTCACTTAAAAAAAAAAAAACGATTTATTTATTTTTACTTAAAGGCAGCTTTATAGAGAGAAGAAGGGACATAGAGAGAAAAATATCTTCCATACACTGGGTCACTCCCCAAACACTGCAGTAGCCTGAGATGAACTGGTCCGAAGCCAAGTACCACGAGCTGCTTCTTCCTCTCTTACATGGATATAGGGGCCAGAGGACTGTATCCATCCTCTGCTGCCTTCCTAAATCATAAGCAGGACACAAACCAGCACCCTCGTGGGATGCCGGCACCACATACAGAGGGTTATCATGCTGCACCACTATGATGGCCAATGAATGACCTTTCCTAAGCTCCTGCTGCCTGCAGACCTGGGCTGGGCTGCGTAGTCTCAGCAGAACCCCAGATAGGGGAGATCCTGCCACGTGCCAGCTCTGGCCCTTGGTGCCCCTCTCTGCCCACTGCTCCCTACTACACCTGGCCATACAAATTATCCTGTGAGTCTTTGCACAATCACCCTCCTCCAGGCAGTCCTCCCAGGCCCCAAATGAGTCTGGGTGCCTGTCCTGGACTCTCAGAGCAGAAACGCTTCCCTCCACTCACCCTAATTCCAGCCCCCATGCCTCCCAATCATTCATTTGAAGTATCTCTATCTTCCTTGTAAGTATTCTGGAGTCCGTGGGGAAGGACCCAGAGCCCTCCTGCTCACCACTGTGTCCCCACAGCACCCACCACAGGGCTGCAAGCCCAGGCTTAGGGTGCCAGCATTGTGGGGTCAGAGGGCGGTGGGTGCTGTGCTGATTCTCAGGAGCCAGGAGGCTGCCCTGGGTGTTTCCAAGACCCTTGCCTCGTGGCCTCTAATAGCGGCTTTCTGCCCTGGGACCCCAATGTCTTCATTTGTGAAATGGAGGCGATGCCGCCGGCCCTGCGTGTGTAGTACAAACATGGCAGTGTTAAAGGGAGACAGGGAGGGGCAGAAGGGACCTGCCATGTGCTGCCACTTCATACAGGGCTACAATAACCAGGGTAGAGCCAGCTGGCACACGAGGCAGGAGCTTCACCCAGGCCTCCTGCGTGGGGGGGCAGGGGCCCAAAGACCTGGGCCAGCTTCCGGTGCGTTCCCAGGTAGGGAGCTGGGTTGGACATGGAGCCCCTTGAACAGACTCCACACTGTTCTGTTCAATGCTACTGCCTCAGGTGGCAGCTTAACCAGAAACATAACTGCAGTGGCCCCAATACACAACTGTGCCTTTTTTTTTTTTTTACAATTTTATTTTATTTTTTAAAGATTTATTTATTTTTTAATTGGAGAGTCAGATATACAGAGAGGAGGAGAGACAGAGAGGAAGATCTTCCGTCCGATGATTCATTCCTTAGTGACTGCAACGGCCGGTGCTGTGCAGATCCAAAGCTAGGAGCCAGGAACTTCTTCCTGGTCTCCCATGTGGGTGCAGGGTGTCAAGGCTTTGGGCCGTCCTCGACTGCTTTCCCAGGCCACAAGCAGGGAGCTGGATGGGAAGAGGTGCTGCCGGGATTAGAACCGCTGCCCATATGGGATCCTGGCACATTCAAGTTGAGGACTTTAGCTAGGCTACTGCGCTGGACCCACAATTTTATTTTTTATTTGAAAGATTTACAGAGAGAAGGAGAGAAAGAGAGTGAGAGAGAGAGAGAGAAAGCGAATCTTCCTTCTGTTGGTTCATTCCCCAAATGTCTGCAATGGCCTTCTCTCACCCCAGCACTGTGCAGTGGATGAGAAGCCAGGCCCTGAGTCCAGCAAGGCTCAAGTGGAGGGCCTGGGCTTCATCTCCTCAAAGAGGAGTCCCCAAGAATCTGTGCGTTCTTCTGGGGGAGATTCACTGATCTTTCTACAAGGCAGAATTAGGAGACAGAGATAATCTTATACTCACGGGGTGGCACTCCAAATGGCACGGCACTGGGTCTGGCCAGGCTCAAGGGAGGCGCCCAAAAACGCATCCTAGTGTCTGACGTGAGTGATGGGAAATGATCCCAGGGCCTTCACCGCGGCCTTCTCAGCAGATTAGCAGGAAGCTGGATGCGAAGCAGAGCACCTGGGGTTGCAACTAGGATCTGATACAGGATGTAGCAGTCCCCAGGGTATCTGACAGTGATGCCCTGGGTAGGAAACTCTGGGAGATCCCTCTGGGGCACTCCTGGCTCAAGGCCACCTTCCGGTAGGACTGGGCCAGAGCAGAGAGAAGGGTCAGCAGGAAAAGCCTGAGGTCAGAGTGTGGTCATATATGACAGGATATGGCCAGGGCAGAGAAAGGAGCCACTAAACAACTGCCCAAGGGCAGAGTGTGAAGTAAGGAGACTCTGGATGTGGGAGGCAGCCCGAGGAGGAGCTGGAGGAGGGTCAAATGAGATGGGATAAAAGGAAAGACGCTCTGTACCTGAAACCCTCACTGCACTGGCCAGAGAAGGCAGGACTCGGGAAGGTCAGACCACCGTCCTGCAGTGCGACTCCAGTGCTCCCATGCTGGACTCAGTTGGCCAGCAGGGCTTTGTCCTGTCTGTCTGAGACCCACTCTGCTCCCCTGTCTGAGACCATCCAACTGCTGCTACCACAGCCCACTCATCTCACTCTTGGTTCTCTCGTGGATCACCGAGACTCCTCCAGCTGAACCTCCCCATGCTGCCCTCTGGGGTACAGATGCTGCCGCTGCTGTGGCTTCTACTGTGGATGCCCAAACTAGGGCTCTCCAGCACCCCAATACCAGAAGATGTAACAACTGGCCTGGTGCATGAAGACACATCCAGTCTGTACAACAGAGCCGGTGATAGGGTGGACAACGAGACCACCGAGGAGGAGCCAGAGACCGGGAACGACTATAATGACAAGGATGTCACCCGGGTGCTAATGCTGGACAGCACCAATGGTGAGCTGGGGAGCAAGGCAGAAGAAACTGGCAGGAGGAAGGGCACCCCTCCAATGGAGGATACCGAGCTCCCCTATCCCTTAGGGATGTGGTCTGGGACAGTGAGCCAGGTGGACAGGACCTGCAGAGTCATGGGGGGAGGTTTCCGGGGAGATGCAGTGGATGGAAGATAATTGTCTTCCTTAGGGCGTCAAGGTCACCTGCTTGGAGTTGCAAAGAGGGGCGCTCTGTGGGGACAGGCCTGCCTGTGGTGGAAACGGAGCCAGTGGAGAAAGCAGACCTGGAGTGTGGGGGGGATTGAGAAATGGGAAGGTTGAAGGAGCAGATGTGAGTGACGGAGTCCAGCACAGTGCCTGGAGGGGTGGAGCCACCTCCAGGGCGTGGGGAGCCAATGAGGTGGCAGGGATCACAGGAGCGAGGCAGTGGTCTCGCCATCAAGAAAAACTGAGGCTCAAGGCCGGTGGATGTTGGTTTTTCACACCTGGATGCAAAGGCAAAGTGGGAAATCCCAGGAAATTGAGGATCCTTTTTTGGGGAAGGGGCTTCCAGAGATGGAATGGGGTGATTAGAGGGGGCAGAGGAGAGGTTGTGGGGCATGTGGGCTGGGCTGTGAGCTGCAGGATGGTCTGAGAAGAAGCAGTGGGGGTAGGGCTGGGCATGGTGCCCGGGGAAGGTCATGGCAAGAAAAGGGAACATTTAGGGGTGTAGCCACAATGCTTGATTGCCATGTGTGAGAGGAGGAGCTGGTGGTTCCCTGAAGTAGAAGGAGGACCCTGCAGAGCCAAATGCCCATGGCACAGACCCCAAAGCTGCAGTTCCTACTACACAGGCCTGGCAAACCCCAGTGTCGGGCCTCCTCTCTGTTCCTTCCTGAGTCCTGCAGTGTGGGGATCACAGGCAGAGCCTAGGGTGGATCCAGTCTTGCCCATCATGGTGGTGTCTTGTCCTGCCCTGCTTACCCCAGTTGTATAGGATTTCCTGCTGGCCCAGCACCAACAGAGTGTCAGAAAGAGTCCAGGCTCTGGTGTATCCAAGGAGTGTGGGGCCATTCTCCACGTGACACTTTCTACCCAGGGCGGTGGACATGTGGGTCCATGACTCATTCCTGTGCCCACTTTCCCACTGTGGCCAGAAGACGCCCGTTCCCCACCCACCTCTCTGTCTGGAGTTCCTTCCGCCTTCACCTTGGCCTGTGGTAGCTGTTCCTGTCGCTCTGAGCCTCTCCCCTGAGCCACTTGCACCTCCCGCCCAAAGACGTGTGGCTCTGTGCCTGTGTCCATATTTCCTCTCACGTGAACACAGCCAGTCTTCCTGGTAAGATGAGGCCACCGTCCTGTGCCCCCTATGTTCTCCATGGGCACCCTGCCTCTGTCCCTCCTTCCTCACAGCCTGTCCCTTGTCCCCAGCGTGACTCTACCCTTTTCCTGGTTGTTGGGAGGACTGGGCTTATTTGGGTGGAGAGTCAGGGGAGCCCCACGGGGAGAGGTGGCCTCTGGTTCACAAAGCCTCACTCCAGGACAACAGGGCAGTGGCCCCCACAAGCTCTCCTCCCAGGCCCCTGTCCCTGGGCCTTCGTGCTAATTTCCCTCAGCATTTGTGGAGGGTGAGGAGGGAGCAGTTGGTGACCACAGCGCCACCCACATCCTCACCTAGCAGGGAGGCAGCACAGCTGAGGGCTGCTGGCGCTGCAGGCTCTGGCACAAGGCTGGCTCAGCTGGAACTCCACTCTCTCCTAGCCAGGTGGCTTTGGGGCTCATGGATGGCCTTGGGCCTCAGTTTCCCCATGTGTTAAATGGACGTAATGGGGCTTCTTCCTCAGGAGATTGCTGTGAGGTTGAGGCGTCTTCCTCTGTGTAAAGTGCCCTGAGCAGTGTGTGGTAAATAGCGCTTTATACCATGCACATGATGGAGTGATAGGCTGTGCCCCACATGCCCGTCACAGAGGGGCAGGTTGAGCCACATGTGCCCGTCACTGAGGGCAGGCTGTGCCCATCACTGTGGGGCAGGCTGTGCCCCGTGTACCCATGCTGTGCCCATCACTGAGGGCTGTGCCCCGTGTGCCCGTGCGTTCTCTGCTCCGTGCCCCCTGTTCCCTCTGCGATCCTGGAGCTGTTCCCTCTTACAGATGAGGACTGGACCCCGAGGGAGTCTCACATTCAGATATTCCGTTAGGAGGGGGAGGCACAGAAGTGATGCTGATGTCCCCACCCAGACAGTGCCAGGACCTGAGGAGGGTGGGGCCCAGGTCAGAGAGGGCAGACACACTTCTGGATCCCAGTCTGTCCCCGGACCCTTCCTCGTGCACTGGGATGCCCCTTTGGGGCTGAAGCCCTGGGAGAAGTGAGTCACCCAGCACCCCTTCTCCTGGACAGGTGGAGAGGGGGCTTCGGGCAGACAGGGTGTTAGAGCTCATTTGCAAGGCAAGGGACACTCCAAAGGGGCCACTACTGCCCCCAAATTCCCTCAGATAAGTCTGACAGTCCAACTTTGACCCCCCACTCTCTCTTAGCCAGGAGTGCCCTACTGCTTCCACTTCTGCCAATCCCCTGGTGCCTTTCTCTGCTCCCTCTAGAAATTTATAAACAATTTAGAAAGAGCCGGCACAGCGTGTACATGGTCTTCAACACCACTGAGCTCCAGAAAGCCGTGCCTGACCCATCATCACTGTACCGGGCGGACCTGCTCATCCACAAGCTGAAGCAGCATCAGGAGCAGCATGTAATGCTGTTTGAGGTGAGCTGGGAGCCTGAGCTGAGGCCAGGTGGGGAGGAAGGTGCTGTCCCAGGTGCTGAGAGACGGCCCAGGGAGGCTGGAGGAGCACAGACCAGGTGAGCAGCACAGATGAATCTCCCTGCTGCGCTCCAGAAGCCCAGGCACTTGGGCCATCTTTGGCTGCTTTCCCAGGGGCAATAGCAGGGAGCTGGAGCACCAGTAGAGCAGCTGGGACTTTCAGCAGTGCCCAGTTGGAATGCCTGAGTCACAGGCCACAGCTTAACCCTCTGCACCACAACTCCAGCCCAAGAGTTTCTCTGGCTGATTATTTCTTTGAGCGACAGGGGTAGACATGCTGCACTTCCCAAATGCCGACAATGCCCAGGGTGAGCCAGGCCCAGGCAGGGAGCTGGGAGCTCAGGCCAGGTCTCCCATGGAGCTGACTGGGACCCAGCTACTTGAGACAGCCCTTATGCCTCACCAGCGCAGCCCTAGTAGGAAGCTGGAGTCAGGAGCCAGGGCCAAGTCTCCCACCCAGGCAGTCTGCTTTGGGGCACAGGCATCTAGACCACTGAGCTTCAGAACTGCCCCAGTGTCTGCTGCCTTGGACATCATGGGTGGTGAGTGCTTCTAGAAAGTTGTTCTGGACAGAACTACTCTAGAAGCTGGAGTCTTCAGGTAGGTGTCAGTGCTTCAAAAATGCTAGAGTTTCTAGAAGGCCACTCGATTTAGAATCCATGACATCTGCAAATAATGCTTAAGGAGAGTAGAGGATAAACCCTCCCAGGGAGAGACCTTGGCCTAGTGGGTACTTTGTCTCCTTCTCTCTCTTTTTGAAAATATTTATTTATTTATTTGATTGGAAAGGCAGTCCAGATTTAAGCAGAGAAGGAGAGACAAAGCTCTTACCTGCACTGGTTCACTTCCCTGACGGCCATCATGGCCAGAGCTGGGCTGATTGGAAGCCAGGGGCCTCTTCTGATATTTCCAAATGGGTGCAGGTCCCAGGACGTGGGCCATCACGTGCTCTGTTCTCAATCCATAAACAGGGACCTGGATCGGAAGTGCAGCAGCCAGGGCAGGAAGCAGTGCCCACATACGCTGCCAGTGCTTGAAGCCGGAGGATCGTTGAGTTGTGGTGCTAAACCCCCAGCTACTTTTTAAAAGCTATTTTTGAAAAGAAGATTGATTTATTGGAAAGACAGAATGGTTGAGAGATCCTCGATGCACTGGTTCATTCCCCAGATGGCCACAAGGCTCAGGCTGGTGCCGGGTTGGCACCCAAGGCCTGGAGGTCTCCATTCTGGATTCCAGTGTTGTACCAGGAACCTGACTTGGGTATCTTTTGCTGGTTTCCCAGGCTCAGTAGCAGGGGTCTGGATCAAAAGTGGAGCGGCCAGGGCTAGCATTTGTCCTAATAAAGTTTCTGGCATCACAGGCTGTGGTTTAAGATTCTGTGCCACCACACCAGCCTCATGTTCCTGGAGTTGTACAAGATTGTTCTAGAACTCCTTAGGCTCCTAAAGTGTGTCCTTCCTGGACCTCATTAAGCACTGGGATCACAGAATGAGGTCTAACACAGCAGTGAGCTCTCAGGTACAGCTGTCAGATCTGCAGACCCAGAATGCTGGCCCCAGGTGCCTGGGCTAGGGGGCTGTGCTGGTGGGAGGGGCTTAGGCTGGCAGTGGTGCCTGTGGCCTCAGGGGAATTAGATCACCCCACACCTCAGGGAGTCAGGACAGGCCAAGCAGCCCTATGGAGTCCAGGCCTCTTCTCTCTGGGGGCACTGTGGGGCTGTGGACTCCAGTGTGGGTGTGTGGGAGGTTGGGTGCTGGAGGCTGGCTTGGGAGCAGGTAGAGGGGCTGGTATGACTCTGGTGTGTGAGGCATAGGTAAATCTCCCCTGTTTTCTGTCCTCCAGAAATACAGAAGGAACTCCTGGCACTACCTCAGCCACCGGCTGTTGGCTCCTAGTGACACAGCTGAGTGGATCGCCTTCAATGTTACCGATGCTGTGCGGCAGTGGCTGAACTACAGAGGTAAAGATCCCGGTCTGTCCCACTCCTGCTTCTCCTGGGTCCCCCTGCCTTGCACCCCACTGTACTACATACTGTTATCAGACACTCAGAGCTGGGGATGAGTGATGGATCTGTCAGTGGTGACTCCATTACCAGAGCACCTGCCCTGGGAGTGGGCATGAGGGGACAGACACAGCCGCTCCTTGCCTGGACACAGTGCTCATGGTCCATGGGGTGTGCAGGAAGGGAGGGGAGCACTCCTGTGTCCATGCAGTGATGACTCAGGGTGGGCAGGCAGTGCTGGGAAGAGGAAGCCAAAGCAAGTGCTTGACCCAGCCTGGAGTCAGGGAGGACTTCCTGGAGGAGGGCACCTCTCAGTTGAGCTTTGAGAGATGAGTAAAAGCAGGAAGGACCAGAAGAAGGAGGGCCCAGAGCATTGTGGGTAAGGGATCAGCTGTGCAAAGGCCCGAGCCCATGGAGAGCTGGCACTCTGGATCTGTCTGGGAAAGGATTGTGTCACTCCTCTGCCCAGCCGTGTCCCCAGTCCTCATTACTCACCCTACTGAGGCGTTCGTGTCCGGGATCCACACACACACCTCCTTGAGCTTGGCCGTGTTGGGTGGCATGAATGAGCAGGATACAGTGATAGGGCAGCTGTGGGTCCCGCCTCCATGGAATTCATTTTAGTCTGGATACTTCACAGATCTTGCCACACGCGGCAGGTAGCAGATACCATGAATTAATGATTCTGTGAATGGGGACATGAGGGCTGCAGTGTTAGGGTCATGTTCAGTGCCTCTGTGGAGACCAGAGAAGGTCCCCAGACTCATGTGGAGGCATCCAGGCACACTTGTTGGAGGAGGAGTTCTGTTGTGTTGAGGGTGATTCATTGGCCAGATGTGGACAGGGCAGTAGGGAGCAGTGTGGCATGAGGGGCACCCTGGCCTAGAGTCAGTGACTGGCAAGATCTCCATGTTTGGACACTGCTGAGTCCAAACTCACAGTCCAAGGCCCACAGGCAGGAAGAGCTTAGAAAACATCACGCATCTTTGGTGATACTTCTATCCATACGTGTCCTATTGAAAAGCATGGGTGTAGCTTTGCCCTCCACCATTGGCTCGAGTGGGGTATTGGGCAGCTCTTGTCCTTTCCATAGGTGTCAGTACCAGCTCTATAGGAGGTCAGGGTGGCTGAGGGTCCAAGGTGGTCACAGCGCAATAAAGGGCCTGGGACGGAGCATCTGGTCCTGTGGATTCTGTTGATAGACAGATGGTGGGCTTAGGAGATGGTCCATCTGCTGAGTGTCCCCACTCGCCAATTGTCTCGTGAGATATTTGTTTCCATGAGAAAAATTTATTTTTTTGAGACAGCACGGTGACTTACTGGACCTAATCTTCAATCTGTCGTGCAGAATATTCGCAGGAATATCAGAATATCCTTGCTACCCCATTTGCAATGCAGCTCCCTGCTGAGATGCTGGGACAGCAGTGGGTGGTGTCCAGGTCTTTGGGCCCATATATCCCTCAGATGAAACTTGCCTCCCTCTTGGGACCTGCCCAGCAGTTTGCATGTTCTGGCCGTTGTTGATATTTGGTGAAAGCACCAGTGGATGGAGGATCTCTCTCTGTCTCACTCTCCCGTGTCACTTAATTGTCCGTTTAAAATCAAGGTTGATTTGACAAGCAGTTTCATAGGGAAGAGGTAGGCAGACAGAGACCTTCCATCTGCTTGTTCTCTCCCATAGTGGCTTGGGTTTGGTCTAAACCAAGTCCAGAGCCAGGAATTCCATTGAGGCCACAGCACGTGGCCATCTGGTGCTGCTCCTCCAGGCACATTCGCAGGGAGATGGATCAGAAGGGGAGCAGCCAGTGGCCCAGCATGAAGGTCTGGCACAGGAGGGGGCCTCTGCCTGAATCCCACAAGGACTCCTGTCCAATGGTCAGCTGCTCTGCTTCTGCTCCAGCCCCCTGCTGCCCTCTCTGGGAGAACAGTGGAACTGCACCACCTGGCAAATCCTGATGATGCTCCTGGCCTTCCCTGGGCAGCCATGGCCTTGGAGCTCATTTGGAGAGTGAAGCAGCAGCTGGAAGTTGTGTCCTCCTTGCTTGCCTAGAACTCTGCCATTCAAATAAAGCAATGGTTAGGGGATGGCACATTTGTATTTCAGGCTAATGCTTTCCTGTGTCACTGTCATCCCAGATGGATGCTGGTTCTGGTCCTGGCTACTTCACTTTGAGTCCAACTCAGTCCTCATGGCCTGGGAAAGCAGCAGAGGATTGCTCAAATCCTTGGGTCCTTGCACCCATGTGTGAGACCCAGAAGTTGCTCTTGGTTCCTGGCTTCAGATTGGCTCAGCTCTAGGCAGAGTGACATTTGGGAAGTAAACCAACAGATTTGTCTGTCTCTCTGTGTCTCCTTCTCTTTGTATATATGCCTTTAAAGCAAGCAAACAAACAAATAAATAATAAATAAATTTTAAAAAGTTATGTAATAATTTTAAAAAGGAGGGCGGTACATGAACTTGTACTCAAACCAGCATCAAAGACATGCATCTCCTCAATCCCCCAGGTCCAATCGAGGTCTTCCGCTTAAGGGGCGTAAGCTTGGGTGAGAAGGAAGACAATGTTCTCCACATGGACATCGGTGGTGAGTACACGGTGCTGACTCAGTCCGCGGCTTCAGTGATCTGGGTGTGAGCATGCGTGTGCACGTGTGGGACACCGTCACCCCAAACCTGCCCTGTGCCACTGCTCCGTCCAACTGAGAGTCCCCACCCCACACAGGGATCACACCCAATGGCCACAATGAGCATCCTGACAATGAAAACAGGAACCGGCCCTTCCTGCTCTTCCTGACCTCCCGGCTGAAGCAGGCTCAACGCATGAACAGCTCCCAGTAGCCCTGAGACCCAGGTAAACACAGGGCTCTTCACTGTGGCCTTCGGCAGAGACCTGGGGGCGGACTTCCCTGGGTGAAGTTCCACGGACAGACTTCCCTCCATTTCTCCTGAGAGTCAGACCATGGATGCTGGGGTGTGGGACCTAGGAGGCATGCAATGTAAGTCCTAAGGGGATGGCCAGCTGTAAGGGTGGGAATCAGGCAGCACTAAAATGTATATATGGGAACTGGAGTTGCATGTGGCAAGGTGGGCCTTGCAGGATCGGCCTTTGACCGCAGGGGAAGTTCTGAGTTGGGATTCCGGATCTCTGCAGTCAGTGTCTGTGACTGGCAGCGAGGCCTAGGGGAGGAGGAGGAAGCTGCAGTGTGGGGAACCTGGAACTAGAAGATGGTATGTTTTGGGTTCCTACGCCAATGAAATGGTAGCAGCCATGCTCCACAGCATCTGAGGCAGAGAAATGGAAAAGCTGACCAGCCTTGGGCTCCACGCTGGCTGCAGGTGTCCTGTCAGCTCCAGGTGGCACCTTGCATGTGCTGGTGCCAGTGGGCAGGGCTGGGATGGAGGGTTGTATTGTGGGAGCTCAGAGCAGCCATGTGCCTGGATGGCTGGTAAGTGGGATGGAAGACCAGGATAGCAGTATCCTGGGATGCTGGAGTTCTGTGGGCTCAGAGAGGTGAGAGTCATCTGGGCTCAGAGTTCTTGATTTCAGTGAGAAAGTGTGTGTGGCTGAGTAGGGCACTGTGACCCCACCCCTTTCCTGCTGAGTGTGCTGCACTGGTGTCCTGGCCTTTCTCTCTGGGCGCTCCTGGGCTGGGGATTGGTCCCTTCCCCATGGCTCTCTCACCACCACATCTTACTCCCTGTGCCTGCACCCCCAGGGAGGGAGGGGCTGAGGGGCTGAGGGCCCTCCCCTCATCGAGGCAGGCCAGGGCTCAGCAGTGAGGTCGTTGTCAAGTCAGGGCTGAATGTCATCCTGGCGATGGGTGCACCTTGCCCTCTTCCAAATCATGCATCATGACCACAGTGAGGCAGCCTGCAAACTCTAGAGCCTGGAATACCTGAGCCTGGGACACCCCCACACAAAGACCAGGGATTCAAAAACTTAAGAGAGTATTGTAATTAAAATTCTAAAGTTTTTCCGGTGCTAAAATTTGCATGCTTCTTTATAATACACGTTTTCTCTGTATCATGTAAAAATTACTTTGTCCTAAATAATTACTTATCTGTAGATACTCTAGAGACCAGCCGTGTGTTGTCACAGGTAAAGCCTTCCCTCCTGCACTGAGCACCTGCACCCCATATGGGCACCTGCTTGAGTCCTGACTCTTCCCCTTCTCATCCTGCTCCCTCCACCAGGCCTGGAAAGCAGCAGAAGATGGCCCCAGGGCTTGTGGCTGAGCACCCACGTGGGAGAGCAGCATGAACTCCTGGCTCAGGCCTGGCCCAGCTCTGGCCCTTGTCTCCATTTGTGGAGTGAACCAACGGATGGAAGCTCTTTGTCTCTCCCTGTAACTCTGACTTTCAAATAAAACAAAATAAATCTCTAATACAAAAAAAAAGAGCAAATGAGTATTGTGTATCATATACATGAAAGAGTTATAAAGGTGTAGATATAAAAAGGTATCATATATACATAAAAGACCTTTGTATTATCAAGTAGATACACTACATCATAGGTTAGAATAGTTATACTTACATCTAATAATGCATGATAACAGCATATAAAGCATAAGTTAAGTTGGAGGAAATTAGAGAACTTGTTAAGTAAATAATATCAATTTAGTATAAATGGGTATTATGCTACACATTATGTAGAAATATAATAGGCTATTGATACACATATGAGCTATAAGATATGCTAAATATTAACAATGGATATTGTATGCACATACATGTTATATATAAACAGATATTCTCTATGAAGGGAATTGCGACAGCACTAAGCTTTTGCATGAATAGATGCCACCTGCTCCGTGGGCATCTCATAAGGGGTCTGGGTTCTGCTTCTGCCCTGGAGATCATCCAGCTCCCTGCTCAGGGGCCTGGGAAAGCAGAGGAAGAGGGGCCAGGTCCCTTGTTCCTCCTTACACCCCACCCATGTGGGAGACCCGGATGAAGCTGAGGCTGCAGAGCTGGAGTGTCCCAGCGAGGCCATGATGGAGCAGAGGGGCGAGAACCAGTGTATGCAAGATCTCTGCATACACATGGTTAATGGTGCTTGAATCTCACTTCTCTTCCAGCTCTCTGCTTGTGGCCTGGGGAAGCAGGAGAGGATGGCCAAGGTTGGGGACCCAGGACCCCCATGGGAGACCTAGAAGAAGCTCCTGGCTCCTGGCTTAGATGGGCTGAGCTCTGTCCATTGCGGGCATTTGTGGCATGAGCCAGCAGATGGAAAATCATTCTCTTCATATCATCTTTTAAAATTATTATTATTTTAAATAATTGTTGGAAATTTATAGATTAAGAGAGAGAAGGAAAGACAAAAAGATCTTCTGTCCACTGGTTCTTTCCCTAAGTGGCACAATAGCTGGAGCTCAGCCAGTCCAAAGCCAGGATCCAGGAGCTTTGTCTGGGTCTGCTAGGTGTGTACAGAGTCCCAAGGCCCTGGGCCATCCTCTAGTGCATTCCCAGGCCACAAGCAGGGAGCTGGATGGGGTCATGAATAGGCACCCCTATGGGATTCCGGAATGTGCATTTTGCTTATTTAGCCACTAGGCCAACACGCTGAGTCCTCTCTCATCTTCTCTTTGTAAATCTGATCTGCCTTTCCAATGAAAATAAACCTCTTTTAAAAATGCAGACCTGATGTACATCTTAATGAATGGAGCTGCTTGAATTCTCACCGAGTTCTCGCTGCTTCAAATAGGCTTTCCTTGCTTGGGTCCCTGTTGGTCAATCACAGCACAAATCAAGCAACAGACACAGTGAGTACACAGGGGGTTTTCATTTGAACAGGAGAGGTTGCTGTGGGACTTGAGAGCCAAAAGGGCAGAGGAAGATGGCCATTGGAAGGAAGAGAAGGAGAGAGAGAAAGAGAGAGAAAGAGAGAGAAAGGCAGAGAGAGAGAGATATTTCCTGCCCTAGTAACAGGAGAGGGCTCTGCGGGAGGCCAGTGGTGAGTAGAGGCTGAGAGATGAGAACTGGCATTGGGAAGAGCCGAGGACCAGGGCCTTTATTTTGGCAGAGGGAGATGGCTTCCTGGAGAAGCAGCAACAGAGTGGGGAGAGCCCAGAATCAAGAGAGCAGAGAGCCAGAGAGCTGGGAGCTGAAAACTGAACTCTGAGCACTGAGAGTGCAGAGACTGAAAGAGAGGCAGGAGAGAGAGAGAGAGAGAGAGAGAGAGAGAGAGAGAGGAAGGTATCTGTAACATCGGAGTGGGTACTGGGAGTACAGGGGTGGGGGTTGGGGGTTACAGCAGTAGGCGGGGTCCAGCGATACAGAACTGTAAGAGATAGGTGCATAGGGCTGTCAGGGAACAAAACTGTGCTTGGAACTAAAAGGCCAGAAATCGAAACACAAGCCTGATGGGACTGAAAGCCTAAGGGAAATGACTGAAGTGGTGATGGGTCTAAAACGGTGATGGGGTCTCAAAATCTTTTGGGCTGATGTTTGAGTCACTCCCCATGTTCCCAGCAGTGCCGCTTGTGATCCAAGTCCCTGTTGATGGAACGCTGGTGCAAGTGCTAGCGTGTGTCCAGGACCCCGCCAGCTGCTGTGAGCCGGAGTGCAGTTCCAGGCTCCTGGCTCAGCCTGGAGCAGACTCAGCTGTTGCACCTGATTCAGTAGAGGACCAACACCTGAAAGATTCATTGATTTTCTCTCTGCTTCTCTGTCTTCTCTCTATATATCTGCCTGTCAAAATGTCAAATTGTGTTGACTAAAGAGTTTTCTTAAATCTTGATTAATGAAAGAAATGTTAAGAAACATACATACATGGAGGGGGCATTCTTGACACATCCATTCCAAACCACAGGATGTTCTGTACTAGACCCTTCTTGGGGTTTGTGGCCATTACGCCTTGGCCATTTTGCCCATGGGACAGCACTGGTAGCTCATACACAGAATCAGGAAATGATATGTGCATGGTACCGAAGACCATGAAGATGAGAGATAAAGCTACACCTGGGCCCTCCTATAGGACAGATGTGTGATGCAGATGTTTCCAAGGAGTGAGTGATGTTTTCTGAGCTCCTCCTGCCTGCAGGCCTGGGCTGTGTGCCTGGACTCAGCAGAGCCCCAGAGAGGGGAGATCCTGCCATGTGCCAGCTCTGGCCCTTGGTGCCCCTCTCTGTCCACTGCTCCCTACTACACCTGGCCATCGTAATTTTCCTCTGAGCCTCAGTCAATCACATTGCTCTAGTCCCCAGATGAGTCTGGGTGTCTTTTCTTGGACCCCAGGGCAAGAATAGCCTGTCTTCATGCTGCCCCATCCCCATGCCTTCACATCTTAGTTCACATATCAGCCATTCAATGTCTCCACATACCAAGGCTGTTTCAGGATCTCCTTGTAAGTATTCCAGAAGTGAAGTAGACTCTGTGGGGAAGGACCCAGAGCCTTCCTGCTCACTGCCGTGTACCCACTACACCCACCACAGGGCTGCAAGCCCAGGCTCAGGCTGCCAGCATTGTGGGGTCAGCAGGACATGCACTGGTTGGCCTCTGACATCTGATAGCCTGGGCTCTGAGAGCTCACAGCTGTGTTGGACGTCATTGTGACGCCAGTGTCTGATAAAGCCCTGTCTGACAAAGCCCAAGAATGGCATAGGTATGAGCGTGACGTATTCACACCGCAAGGCAGCTGTAGCAGGGTCTGAACAGGCTGAAGGGAGGCACCCCAAGACACATCCTGATCTCCACACGAGGGACAGCACATGATGCTGGAGCCACTGACCATTGCCTTCTCAGGGGCATCAGCAGGAAGCTGGATGAGAAGCAGAGCAGCCAGGGTTCTTACTGGGATCTCAACCGGGATGCGGTATTCCAAAGGTTGTCTGACAGAC